AAGAGCGGGTATGCTTGTTTAGGAAATTGTAACTTCATCTAGGCAACATGCTTTCAGTTAACATCAACCAGAGATAAGACCTCCTGTTGTCTCCTTCCCTTCTTCTCAAGCCCCTTCATCTGTTGCAAGACTGGTTTTGTTTTTAAACTCTTTAGACGAGGATTATTTAGCCTACTATTTTTAGAACTTCTAATTTAGTTATTTATTTTCACTTTGTTGCTAATCCCCACATAAGATTAAAAAAAATTGGTAAACCTGTGAATAATTAAACTCAGCACCTAGCCATGTGTCCTGGGGGGGGAGTGAGTGAGTGGCTGCGTGGTATTTGGCTGCCTGCCAGGTTAAACCACGACACCATGTAAATGAAGACCATGAGCTTTTTTTCTTTAAAAGTATTTTTAAGCTAGATATTCAATTTTATATTGCATGTTTGAGAAGATACCTAATCACATCCTTGACAATGGATGAAGCACCATGAAAGACTATTTACTTTCCAAGGTGTGATGATATGATTGTTTGCTGTTTATGTGTTAGGGAGGAAAGACACCACCTATTTTCTTACGCTTCAAAGTATCCAACTGTAATGAGCAACCTGATTTAAATGTACAACTTCTCTAAGTGAATTCAGCAGCCTAAATGCTTGTATTTTGGAATATGCCCAAGTGTCTTGCTGAATTCAGGATTAAAGCTGACTGTATGAAGTTGAACTTCTCTGTTGTACAGAAAGAAATTCCTGTGTTTACAGAATTAAACTGCTGTGTTAAGTGATATAAGATACATAGGAGACTGCTATGCAAAAATATCTGAAAGTGTGGCATGACTATGGAGTGGGAGGGAAAGATTGTAGAAATATAGAAAGTAAATAGTATTTTTTAAATTGCATTTGGAAAAAAAAATGGAAGTAATAATGCAACAATTTGAAAATAATTTGAAGGACATCATGAATCAAACCTGGACTCACAAGAACTGAAAAAATTTTTATACAGGTGCATTAAGTTAGTAAGGAAAATACAGGCATGCAAAAACTGTATTTTATTTACCATCAGATACACGTTGAAGGGAAGAGAGGAATATGACTCTTAAGGAGTCATTGTTCCATTTCAAAGGATTTTGTTGTTGCAGGACAGTATAGTGATCCTACAGAGTGATCCATGTATCGCATCAGTGAGTTTTTGCACAGAAGTTGGGAGGCTGACCCACGAGCACAGGTGGCAGGATGCAATGCACATTTCCATGTGTTCGTATTTTCATACAAAATAAACACAGCACTGTTTGTGAACTGTATGAAGTGAAAAGCTGAGCAGCAGGACACCTTTTCCTAATAAAAGACCCGATGAGTGCAGGTTTTGTTAACTTTTTACTTTTTGAAAGCTTGAGTCAACTATAGTTTAGCCTGCAGGTAAAGTTATTTGGTCTTTCTAGCTGGCAGTGAGAATGAGTTCACCGTGTTTATCAATCAGAACAATTCATTGTCAGCCAAGCCTCAACATCAATTTATTTTCATGCTACCCGTTTTAGTTTTGCAGGAGAAAGTACTTGTATGCATGGTTTTGTACCTTTACTTTTCTGGAATACTTAAGTGCCTAAATTAGATTAAATGCCCTTATAACTCCTCGGACCTGCAAAAAGAGAGGCTGAACTCACCAAACAAACAAAGAAAAAGCATTTCTTTCCTTCACACCGTGCTGGATCACTGATACAAGGTTGCTGAAAAGCAAAGCCATGTACAGTACATTACACTGTGTGGATGTATTGTAGCTATCGTTCAGCTGACACTCTCGTGACAATTAGATTTAGGTGCTAGAAAAATCTCACCGTTCAGTGAAAGAGGGACCTGAAACAGTGATATATATTCTTTGACAATTTTATTTTATTATTTAAGATATTAAACACTGTCAGGTATACATTTTTAAGACTTCAGAAACCTGAAACATTAATTGCAACTTCTATCCTAATGTAATATGACTCCAAAGTCTATGCTTTTAAATACTAGCTGCTCAAAATGAGTTATTTGGATAGCAAAATGATTAATGTTTTCAGTCACCATAAATGTCAACTGTAGGATTAAAGGATTTAAAAGGTCATGTTTTTAAACCTAAAGCTCGAGTACTTTAAACTTACCTGTCTGAAGCAATGGAAGGATAGATAGGTAAGACCTATCTATTTTTGACCTTCCACTGTGTATGCCTTA